GGAATCTGGCAGCATCACGATTGTCTTTAAACCTAAACATGCGTCTCATTCATGGTCTAGATGTCAAATTTGATTTAGTGGCTCCCATATGATTGGCTCAAACATTTTTGGGTGATAAGACGTTATTGGAGGTTTATTGGAATGACAGGATTACACAAACAGGACCTGACATCAGAGAAGAAAAGAAGGTGATTCTTGGCACAATGACCAGGTGAGTCTCATCAAATGTGGGAAAGCTTTAAGGAAGTATAAAATGAGGAAGAACGGTAGCGATATGAAAATCCATGCAAACCACACAGGAGCTCAGGTGATCAGGAATAGGTTAAAAGAACAAACTGAAATAAATAAATAAAAGATGCAAAACATAATTACAGATTGTTAAACACATGTCACTGGTGTCTCACGGCCTGAGCAGCATAATCACTAATAATCTCTAGAGTGTTGCCTAGTTACCAGGGAACTCCCTGGCGCTGTCCAGTTAAAGACTGATGGTCCGTGAGAGGAAGAAGGAGACACTTGTTTCAGCCTAAGGGGCCTTCCCTGATTCCCGCTGAGGTGCTGAAACTGATAACAGCTGCGCTCTCATTCAGTGCTGCAGGAGGAGCTATGCTGCATATTTATTACCGTTTATAGCTGGCAGTGAGAAATCCTTCCCATCCTTCTTCTGCATGATGCGAGTCTTAATTACCGGTTTACAAAAAATAAATCAATTTCTGAGCTGTTCTATTTCCCTGTTTGTTTGTTCTGTGTTTTTTCTTTTCTTTTTTTGCTTTAACTCAATCCTCAATATTCAAGCCTGGATTTAAAGTAAAGGTTCTCTGCAACAGCATTACAAGGAAGCTAGAGCTGAAGCCCCAACAGAAAGGTTCCAGTTGTGGGATTTGATATTCACTTGCAGTGACCCAGTTATTAGATTCATAAACACACAGACAGGCTTCCTCTTTTCATGAAGAAATTTCCACACAGTGCTTCCAAGACTGCCCCCTACTCTGCTATTTTCACTCTTAAAAAGGTCAGATATTTTAAAACAGCTAAAGATCATTTTTAAAGTTATAGAGGGTAGTAATTACAGGGATTTACTGACAGAAATGTAATATATTATACTTAAGTAGGGACTTTATTATCATCTATGAACTGAAAGTCAAAATATTTATGTTTGTGTTGCCTGAGAAATTGCGAATTACAATTGCATAGAAACAGGTCTCTGGTTAATACTAGAGGAAGACATATTTGCGCTATGGCAGCACAGACCTGACAAACTAGTGACTGCAGAAATCCCCTTTATGCTTGACTGTGACTGCGACAGGTCAGACCTATATAAAATGTATACCCTATACAGACTAGTAAAATACAGTTAGGAAAATTATCTATGTAAACAAATCATCACGTCATTTAAATCCTTTATCAAAGAGGTTTCTAGAATTTCCTTCCTTCATCGGCAAAATGTTGCAAAAATTAAAAAATATACTGTCCAGGGGTGATAAACTGCTGAGAAACTAGTCCATGCATTTGTTACTTCAAGGCTGGACTATTGTAATTCATTACTATCAGGAATTCGCCTCAGGACAATGGCTTCAGCTGATCCAAAATGCTGCAGCCAGAGTTCTGATGAAAATTAGAAAGAGAGATCATATCTCTCCTATCCTGGCTTCTCTTCAATGACTTCCTGTTAAATCAAGAATAGAATTTAAAATCTTTCTTCTTACATATAAAGCCTTAAATGGCCAAGCTCCATCTGATATCAGAGATCTGATTGTTCCTTATGTTCTTAAAAGAGCTCTTCGCTCTCATTCTGCAGGTTTACTAGTGGTTCCTAGAATTTCTAAAAATAGAATGGGAGGCAGATCTTTTAGTTATCAGGCTCCTCTCCTGTGGAACCAACTACCAGCTTCAGTCCATGAGGCAGACACCCTGTCTACTTTTAAGAGTTGGCTTCAAACGTTGCTTTTTGAAAAGCTTATTGTATAGTTAGAGTGGCTCAGGTTATCCTGAGCTATCTCTATAGTTACGCTGCTATAGGCTTAGACTTCTGGAGGACATAGGGACCACTATTTCCTCATTCTGCTTCATTCTATCACTACTCTTCCACTCTGCAGAATCTATTAGTTCAATCTCTAACATTATGCTCTCTCTGCTTTTTCTCATAGTAGCTTCGCCTCGTCTGTTCCTGTTTGGCTGTGACTCCATCCTGGAGAGAAATATCTCCTAGATAATTATAGAGTCCGACGTTGTTCCATAATCAAAAGTTGAGAGAAGGACATAGGAAGCTGAAAAAAAAACATTCTCCATAACCCCTAAAGAGTCAGGAGACCCACTCAGGTGGCTCACACCAATTTGAATCAGCACCAAATGTCTCAGCTCATGGCTTGAAAAACTAAATTAATCCAAGATCAATTTCCCTTTCTTCATCAAAGGTTAGATCAATGATCTGTACTATTTTATAAATAAAATTACTGGTCCAACAGGCGAGTATAGTGTGTGCATAAAAAAAACAGAATACTCAACCAGACATGGAGACCTTTTTGATCCAGATAGTCAGAGTAATCAGGGTGAGCTGTCGATTACAGTGATTTCTTTCTGAATTCTGAGTTGCTAATAGCATTTCTGTTGAAAATAATTCACATTGTTTTGTCTTTGAATATCTTCCTGTTCCTCAACTGTGCTCACCCCCGAATCTGCATTCAGCTTGCCTTCTTTCTTGCAGCGCCATGCATTCCCAATTTCTCTCTTTCCCAGACATCCCATTCTCCCTCTTCAACAATCAAAAAGCAGCAACGCACCCTGAGACAGTAATTAAAGTGTCTAATCTTCAGATTGTTTTTTATTTCTCTGAAATGATCCTCTTCCCTTCTCATCCTTGTATTGGATCAGCCTAAAAGCTGGTATGGTAATTCGTCCTTGACTGCCCTGTTCCCAAAAGAATATGTGGCCTACATTTGTTTGCGGTGCAGTCTTAGCCTCTGTGAGCTAGTGTGTACACATATCAAACTCTTTTGTTTGCTGCTGCACAGCCCTTTGTCTTCCCTGTCACAGTTCTGTAGCAACATGCCATTATGGTTTTGTCTCTATGATTTATCATGCATTCAGGAATTCATTATTGACTTTTAGGTAAACTAACATGAACATTTAATCATTTTTACAGGGTAGTATTTGCAGATGGATGTGAAAAAGCATCCATAACAGTATGCACATATAAAGATGAGAGTCCGCTTTAGCTTCATCACAACATCATTAAGAATAACAAATTGACCTGCAATTCACACTCTTCCTGTCAGAAGCAAGAAAATGCAAAAACAAAAAGTAATGGATGTGAAGCAAAGGAAAAGAAACCATTCACAAAACTGTAGCCTCTCAATATTGAATCTTTAGTTAAAGAATCTTTTCACAGCCGTGTTTTTTCATCCCAAATGTACAAAAAATGTATTGATATTCTGCTAATTATGCAATTATGGTATTTCCAAAACAAAAGAAATACAAGTAAAATTGCAAACAACATAGCAGTGGCGGACGTAAACATATAACATAAATCTGTTTTCAGCCACATCTCAAACTAAATGTGAGAAATAGCCACTTTATGAATTCAAATATGCCTTGCCATCATCCTCCAACTAGTTTCAGTCTTCTTCTTTGTCATCGCCGGCCTACCGGCCTTCCTAGAGAAACTCTTCTTTGTCGCCGGTCTCTCGGCCTGCCTCTAGACACTGTGCTTCACCTTCGGCCTCATGGCCGGCCCACCAGAGACCGTGTTACATCCTTGATCACCTTTGGTGGGGTGTTTTGGACTCTGATTGTTTTTGATTTTTGTTACTTGCCCTCCTTCCTGGTCGGCCATCAGCCGGCCCTGGGTGCATCGCTTTGTTTTTGCTTTGGACTTTTAGAAAAAAAAAACCCATTGTAAACGTGACAAGTACCCAGTAGAGAATTGCAGCTGTAGAAGATGTGTTTAAAAGTAGTTCCGGACAGTTAGGGTAACTATGAAATGTCACTGAAAACAGAACCTAGCTCCACAGAACATGGGTTAGCAGTCAAACAAGGAAGTGACCGCGATATGCTGATGAAGATTCTCAGTCATCCAGGTCATAGTCATTCCGTAAAAGTTAAAAAAATATCCACTGGACTTGGTTTCCAAGATTTGAAGACATGTCGCCACCTCTCCAGGAAGCTTTCTCAATTCAAATGTCTGGATTTGAGTTTGAGTCTTATATAGACAAGGCCCTGTATTGCTTGGAAACATGCAAATGGTAACCGAAGAGTGGGTCGTTTGGTTCCATTGTTAGCCTGTAATATCTGAAACCTGTCTATGATTCTGAAGGTCGGTTATTAAAGGGGGGGATTGCCGTTAAGGGGGGGATCGTCTCCTGTTATACCTGAAACCTGTCTATGATTGGTTTCTATGATTGACCATGATATCTCTCACCAACAGCAGCACCCTCTAGAGGTCATTTAGTAAACAGATAGGCCAGACATACACTATGAGTTATTTTTTGTTATTGCACACACCTACAGCTCAAACTGTACGATGAAATTGCAGGGTTTAAAAGTTCACAGCTCACGATGTATGTTCTCACACTGTGCGGCCCGACTCTCTTGTGCGACCTTACAATGGCCGACTGAATTTCAAACATGTTTGATTTTCTCCCGACCTTACGATTTCTGATTGGGAGGTGGTCTTGAGAGGCTAATCGCCCCTCGTTAATGCACCATGAGGCTGAAAGTCGGCCTGATCGAGAATTTCTTGCTCAACTGGAGAATCTGCCCAAAAAGGGCAAAAAAAATCGTACAGTGTATCCCCGGCTTTAAGCAGCTTTATTTTACGGAGATGAGGGAGTTGATTCTAATCTGTCGTGTCAGCCAGTCTGCTTGAAGACCGGTAATACTTATCACTGTAGTTCTGGTACTGTGTCAACTCATTTATGGCTCAATCCCAATCTTTACACTCCCTATCTGAACAGGCTCAAGGTTCATGTCTGAGTTCAAAGCTTAGCCAGGTTTCTCCTTGGCATACTAATATTGCTGTTGACTTGCTGAAGAAGGCACATTTCCATCACTGTAAGGGAAATGGATGTGGAGAAGGGTAAAAATCGGTCCGGGGGCCTGAGCACCCTGGAAAAATGTCTGATATTTCTGTTTGTTTGCATGACAGTTGTTAGCATTTGCCTCATAACTCTCTACTTTGCTGAGAAGTCTGACTCGTCTGCTCATTCAGAAGGTGAGTATCCATCATCTGGTCATAGGTCTTCTGTTTTTGAAAGACAGCAAAGCATTTAGCTCTGAAAACAGTGAACCATGTTCATCAACAAACAGACAAAGAAGTTAAATATCCTAACGGCTTGGTTAAAAAATAATAAAAAGAAGAGCAGCTTTTTGACAGACAGTAGTTGGAAAATTAAGTCATTCTTCTTTTTCCAATCATGATTTATTTATTTTATTTACTGTTTATTTTGTAATTAATTTTGCAGCAAAATGATACAAATGCAACTTTAACCTTAGACAAAATCATAATGCACATAACCCTCTCAGAAAAAGGGACGGATGCAAAGCATGTTGGAGATTTGGAGGAAATGCAAAAACAAAGGTGCTGGAAATTCTCTGAAAAGATTCCACAAAGGAATAAAAATAATATGACCAGTAGAAATATCAACAACTGTGGCTCTGACTGGGGAGGGGTACAATTTGTTTTGGTTTTGCTTTTCTCTCTTTCTGAGGATCTAAATCCAGCAGTTGGCTAATCAAAGTGTCTGTGTATATAAAGTACTCTCATATCTCCATGCTGGAGCAGCTTTATGTTTCAGCCTACCAAAAGAAGAAGATTCTTCTGAATTAAAAGGTTTTTACACATTAATCAATGTTTAAAGATTGGATTATTATTCAAGCTCCTGTGAACTAACAAAAGAGATGAATTATTATCTGTTCCTTATCTGTCATATCAATTGACTCGTAATATTACTGATCACCTTTCGCTCATAGATTAAAGGGCATCAGTCTAAGCATAGATTCACAGACTTCGTCGTTACCACACACCTCCTCCAGTTCTGCTGGGGGAAGCCAGAGGCACTGGAGGACCAACATAGAGACATAGCACCTCCATCCCTCCACTCAACATATCCAACTCACCAAGGAGGGCTGATCAGTAATCAGCCCTCATTGTGCTCCTACCTTAACGTGGTGAAAGGGTTTCAGTGCTCGGATGATGCCAGAGGCTACATTGCTATGTTGTGGGGGCTTAAAGCCCCATGCGATGGTCATTGACTGCAGAAAGGCTCTGTGTGATAGGTCAGATAGGATGGGAGATGTAGAGTGATACTGGTTAGTAAACAGTCAGGCTCACCTCCAACCAACACCATGTGATGTTTAAAAAAAAGTTGAAAAACAATCCACTGGATTTTGTTTCCAAATTTGAAGACGTTTCACTTCCCATCAGAAAGCTTTTTCAATTCAAAATTTCAGAAATAGCGTTGAGTTCAAAGGTTTATAGAGTAGCCCAACAAAGAGCCTTGTTTTGGCTTAGAATGCAAATTGAACCTGAAGAATGGGTCCCCCCCTCTAGGAATTGGAGATCTTTGTTAGCCTGCAATACCCAATACTGGTCTATGCCTCTGAAAGGGGGGTCGTCAGGGGCATTGTTGGCCTGGCTGACCAGGCGAGATGTTTTGTCCCCTGCATGGGGGTGAGGGTTGAGATGATAGCGGGAAGGAATCAAATCTATCGCTTTTGAGAGCTGAAACTTGCGAGAGGATGGAGCCCATTCTACTTAGGAAGAGGCAGAGAGGAGGGCTGGGTATGCTTGTCTCACCACAGCTTACCCATCTCATGTTGAAATTCACCTTGTTAGGAGGTAAAAGGGTTTCACTTCCCTGCATCTTTTGGACCTATGGCTTGAACAATGGTACAGATTGCCAGGCCCCATTTGATGGTGGTTCTGCTCATCCTTCTACTCAAGGATTCTATCATTTTGCCAGGGATAATACCTACTTAAGATATGACAGTGAAACCTGGAAGGATCTGATTTGACCCCCAACTCTGGACCTGAGTGAGATTTCATTATTGGACTTCTGTGCAAGTCGTGGATTATCCATAATGAATACCACCTTTAAGCACTGGCTCCAATAGGTACAAGTAGAACCAGGACACTCTAGATCAGGGGTGTCAAACTGGTTCCAGAAAGGGCCGTGTTGCTGCACGTCTTCTTTCCAACCAAACAATAGCAAACCATACTCCAGTCATCTTATCAAGTCATCATGTTCAGATTGGACTCACTTGAGGAGATGACTGGAGTCAGGTGTGCTATTGCTTGGTTGGAAAGAAGACCTGCAGCCACACGGCCCTTTCTGGAACCAGTTGGACACCTGTGCTCTAGATGGTGATCAGTGATCAACCAATATATTAGTGACCGGACTCCTCCTTGTGTCCTAAAGATATTTTTTTTACGAGTTTGGTTTGTTCTGGTCCAGACTCCCTGCTGGGGCCCTCAACCAGGCTGCTGCTGATGTGGATCACTGCTTATGATCATCCTATTCACAAGGAAGACTTACTTTTTCTATATTTATCTAGCTACTTTTTTGCATTTGCAAACATCAATCTTAATATTTCCAACTCAGCAGTGAATTTGTTGAGTTCAAACTGCTGCTTTACTTAAGCAGGCACATTTCAGGATCTGAAATGATCAAACAGGGATGTTTTTGCAGGGAAGGAACAAAACATTTAACATCCGGCAAGAAATATTCAGTAAGAAACATTATGACCTCATCACCATACTTCCTGAGAACCAATAAAGCTGCAGGGAGAAATGTGGCTCTTCTCAAAATGTACATTTTGCTGTCATGATTTCTGAAATGTTGTCTTTGGCTTTCAGGGCCTCTCTCAGGGTGTGGAGGTCCTCAGCAGATGAGCGGTGATTCGGGGACCTTTACCAGCTGGAACTATCCCAGCAGCTATGACAATGGCAAAAGCTGCACGTGGAGCATCACTGTAGATCCTGACAAGGTCAGAACACTTGTCCCAAAATACAGAGAAACTACAATATGGTCAAAGAAAAAAGGACTTTGTATTAGAGTGCTAAAATTTTGGGTCATCCCTCTTTTTAAAGGTGTGAATTATTTAGTTACCACCAATGTTACTCTGTCGGAGCCATCAGCTCAAAATGCTAACAACATGAATGATGAGGCATGTTTCAGGATCATTTTCTTATTTGATTTTTCTTGAGTTTTACATGTTTTATTACATTCCTCTGAAAAAACATGTATTGGTAATTGTTTAAAAAAGAGAGGTTGGGTCTTTGTTAAGGATTGCATATTTGGTCTTTGTTCTTGTCTGTGGGAGTTAGAAAAGACTGAAGGAGAAAAAGACATTACACCGAAGTCTGCAGCCTATTGCTCTTAGAAACCAAAACGTCTGGAGAAGTATTTGATAAGTTTGTCAGCTGAGACACATCTAGGTGATGACTTCAAGTATATGTGTCAGAGTGCTCTGAGGAGCAGCACACGGGGGCAGTTGTCAGCACCATTACCTTGAAGCAAGATGATCCTGGTTTTAAATCCTAGCTAGGGCTTATTGTTCAAAGTTTGAAGGTTCTCTGAGTAAGATGGTGGCTTTATGTCTTGTTTGCTGTCAGAGCTGCACAAAGTGAATTGATCAGTACCAACACTGTTGTTAGGGGATGACTCCAAACTATGTCAACATGCATTTATTAATCTACAGGAGTTCTATGTTGTTAGATCCTAAACTGAACTCCATTTAGTATGTAACTAATTTAATCAAGATGAGCCGTAGAAAGCCTTTGGTGGAGAGATACTTGATAGTTTATGGAGATTTTATGCCTGGCACAGATGTTCTCCATGGCTTAGGGTGGATAAAGGGAACAGTCGGCTATGTAGGGGCTGGAGGGACATCCAGATATTAGATACACTCTGCTATTATGTAACCTATCAATTATCATCCAAGTGTGTGCACAGCTCCTTGCAGGAGCTCACCTAGTGTTTAATAAAAACTAATGCTGTCATTTCTGTGCTCTATATTGATTCTGCACTCACGTTGAAAGTTCAGGTTGTCGCTGTGATCTTAATTTTACTAGACCACCATGTGTCTGGGTTCTGATCAGCTGTTTTATGACTTTCTGTTATGAAAACAGTCTGCTGTGAAGCTAAACAGTAGAGGACAGCTGGTGCAAAGGCAGTGGTATCATCGTCAACAGATGGTTGCCTGGTTCTGCTCATATTCTGGCCCATCAGAATAAATAAACCCTTCATTCCCAGCTCTGCCAGCACTGCTCCTCACTCCCAGTAGTGGCTCAGCTCTTTCTCACTGCATTCTTCTGTATTTCTCTACCTACAAACGTAAATATTACCTTGAAAAATACACTATATTGCCAAAAGTATTTGCTCACCTGCCTTGACTCACATATGAGCTTAAGTGACATCCCGTTCCTAATCCATAGGGTTCAATATGACGTCGGTCCACCCTTTGCAGCTAGAACAGCTTCAACTCTTCTGGGAAGGCTGTCCACAAGGTTTAGGAGTGTGTTTATGGGAATTTTTGACCATTCTTCCAGAAGCGCATTTGTGAGGTCGCACACTGATGTTGGACGAGAAGGCCTGGCTCTCAGTCTCCGCTCTAATTCATCCCAAAGGTGTTCTATCGGGTTGAGGTCAGGACTCTGTGCAGGCCAGTCAAGTTCATCCACACCAGACTCTGTCATCCATGTCTTTATGGACCTTGCTTTGTGCACTGGTGCACAGTCATGTTGGAAGAGGAAGGGGCCAGCTCCAAACTGTTCCCACAAAGTTGGGAGCATGGAATTGTCCAAAATGTCTTGGTATGCTGAAGCATTCAGAGTTCCTTTCACTGGAACTAAGGGGCCAAGCCCAGCTCCTGAAAAACAACCTCACACCATAATCCCCCCTCCACCAAACTTTACACTTGGCACAATGCAGTCAGACAAGTACCGTTCTCCTGGCAACCGCCAAACCCAGACCCGTCCATCAGATTGCCAGATGGAGAAGCGCGATTCGTCACTCCAGAGAACGCGTCTCCACTGCTCTAGAGTCCAGTGGCGGCGTGCTTTACACCACCGCATCCGACGCTTTGCATTGCACTTGGTGATGTATGGCTTGGATGCAGCTGCTCGACCATGGAAACCCATTCCATGAAGCTCTCTGCGCACTGTTCTTGAGCTAATCTGAAGGCCACATGAAGTTTGGAGGTCTGTAGTGATTGACTCTGCAGAAAGTTGGCGACCTCTTCGCACTATGCGCGTCAGCATCCGCTGACCCCGCTCCGTCAGTTTACGTGGCCTACCACTTCGTGGCTGAGTTGCTGTCGTTCCCAAACACTTCCATTTTCTTATAATACAGCTGACAGTTGACTGTGGAATATTTAGGAGCGAGGAAATTTCACGACTGGATTTGTTGCACAGGTGGCATCCTATCACAGTTCCACGCTGGAATTCACTGAGCTCCTGAGAGCGACCCATTCTTTCACAAATGTTTGTAAAAACAGTCTGCATGCCTAGGTGCTTGAATTTATACACCTGTGGCCATGGAAGTGATTGGAACACCTGATTCCAATAATTTGGATGGGTGAGCAAATACTTTTGGCAATATAGTGTATATCTTTCCTCACACTTCACTGCAACCGCTGACAGTTCAGTCAGTAATTCATCCATTTTACTGGTTTATCGGATGCAGAGAAAAGAGGACGATGTAAGAACTTTGCATGTTTCTGCTGCAGGTGATTCATCTGTGGTTTGAGGAGTTTGCTTTGGAGGAGAAACAGCTCTGCACAGGAGATCTGGTCACACTGCGAGACTCACTGGGAACTATTGGTAGATATAACCTCCATTTATTACTGAGGTTGAGGGAATGGGTCGTTTTTTTTTTTTTTAAATTAGGATGATTTTAATTGTGTTAATCCATTTATTGTGTATATCTTGTGCAATATTTTATATTATTGACTGTATGTTGTATAGGGTACTTAATACCCTTAATAAAACGTATTAGTAGTTTTTCTTCTTTTGGATACTGTTAAACAGTAACCCTTCTGTGAATTCACTTTATGTTTTAGAAGAATTTCTAATGACTTAAATCCAAAGACCTTCCAATTTGGAAAGACCAACCTAACATCTCTAATATCAATCATTGGTTCCTCTTCTATAAAAATCGCCTCAACAAATAAAAATAAATTCTTCCAAAACAGCTGCATTAAAGTGCAGCTGGTTTGGAAATAGTTTCTCCCCTCAGTCAGACTCAATTGACGACTGACATTCCCAACCTTTCCGGAATTTTCTGTGTTTTATCTGCAGGGAAGTACTGTGGCTACACTAAACCCAAACCTGTGGTGACCCTTTCAAACCACCTGATGGTCTACTTTGACACCAACGAAAGGAAAACAGACCAAGGATTTAAAGCACATTACAAAGCTGTCGCTCCAGAGGCTGCATCACGTAAGCTACATTTTTGCTTATTAAACCGTCTCTGTCAGTCTAACTCAGTTATCCTCCTTCCATTAGCCTCTCCTTTCTGGTCCTTTAGGATAAAAACATTCTGTTTCTCATGGATTTCAGTTGATTTTAATGTCTTGGCCATCCATACTTGTGTAAATGTTACTCATGCACCAGTGTGTAGTTTCAATATTAATGAAACAAACTCTCCATTACTAGATTGAATAATTTATCAGTTTATAAACACTGAACTACACTAATATAAAATGCTTGTTGACTTATAACACCACCAACCTCCTTCACATTTCCTTCGTTATTCTCCTCCACTCTTTCATCTGGCTCCTTATCCTAAAGAATTAACTTATATGAAGCCATTAATCAAATTAACAATATAACAATGAAAACAGTTAATTTAGGGGGGAGCGATAAAGACAATTTCAAGTATGCTGGTTCTTATATCAGTTTGAAACTACATACAGTATTCATAGATTGATACAGCATGTTTAGGTTAATTTGAGCATTTTATTCAGGAGAAGTCAGTGTTTGAAAATCAAGTAAAATTATAAAAAGGCATAAGTGAGAAGAACTATTGCCAGTGCACTGCAACAGCCTGACTTTTGACTCAAACATTTCATACATTTCTAACTTATTTAGTTTGTTATTTTTATTATTTCTATTTAGTTTTCACCAAAGGGCTGCATTCCTGAATGGTTTCTGCAAAGCTGCAGTCAGTGAGGTTTGTCATTGTATACTGTACAGTCTGATTTTAATCTTACAACTATTATGACTAATATGATTGAGGGTGGACAAAGATGATTGTTTGGTGAAACACCAGGAATAAGGAACCTTTAACACCCAAAAAAACAATTGGACCCAATATTGATGGGAAAAAAACACAAAGAATGCACATTCTTTCTAACAGTCTATTTATTGTGGGGTTTTTTTTGTTTTTTTTTTACCTTTATGCTGCTTAAGCAACTGTGCTGTATTAATATAATCTGTTAAAAACAAAAAAGAAGATTGCAGCAGGACCAGCAGTTGCTGCTGCTGATCAGACTGAGCTGTATGGGGACTAAACACTTATGATCATGTATTTTCCCATGTATTTTTCATGTATTTGCGAAAACTCACAAGCTGACTTGGCGAGCCACAGGTTGCCGAACCCTGCTAGCTGAGAGTAATGTCAGACTTGCAAGAGATTCTCAGTTACATGTTATGCTATGTTTACACCGAACACGATTTAAGCAGTAGAAGGAAGCGGTTCACATGCAGATTTATGGTTGAAGTGCATCAAAAGGTCTCGCACATTTGAGCAGCAGGAGCAGCTAGCTTCAGCCCCTCCAAATCAGGCCTAAATACGTCTATGGCTTTTCATGTGTTTTAATAGAACTATTTATTCTCATTCAGGGAAAAGTAACTTATTATAGATCAAATAGTTGTTTTTCCTACTAAATATGAGGTCCAGATGTTATTTCAATCAATTGCATATTTTAAAATACTTTGTAATACCACTTTTTGCCTGTAGCTCAGCGCTTATTTTCTCCTAAAAGATGCACAAAGTTGAAGCAAACATAGAACAGGGTCTTAGACCCACAACCATCAGGAATCAGGTTAAGGAGCTAATGGGTTAAGGGGTTAGACCATTTCTCTCTGCCCAGTAGGGAATCACCAAAAAGTCAACTTAATTAAGCTGTCGCCTCACATCTGGACAACTTGAAACCAGCTGTGTGGTGCAGCTGCAAACCTGGTTTCTTGTTGGCTTATTCTAAGCGCTTCTGTTTTATTTTCCTATATTTTAATCATGTAAAGCACTTTGCATTGTCTTTGTACTGAATTGTGCTATACAAATAAATTTGCCTTGCCTTGCCTTGCCTAGTGTAGCACACTCTCTAATAAAAGCTGAATTAGACCTGCCTGATATAACCAAGTCCGTCGATGTAGCAACACGTACAGTATTTTTATCTTATTACTTTTATATAAATGGAGGCAGATGTTATAAGGTTTACTTCTTTCTTCTCCCTTTTATTAATGATTTTGGTTGTTAGATGAACGAGTTATGAATGAATGAGTTATGTTGTGTTTTACTGAATTAAATAAACTAAACTAGATACAAACAAGATACTTCAGAGGCGTTCAGTTCAAAGTTTCATCACCTAAACATGCTTCTTTACTCTAAGTTTTCATCATTCCTATCAGGGCTTTCACCATGGTGCTCAGAGGGCCATTCACCATCAATAGTGTCACCATCAGTGGTTTCTCTGGTTTCCCTGGTTTCTCTCGTTGCCTGTTATTCTACTAGTTGTCCATCTTGTGCCTATTTATTTAGGTTTCTTATCAAAAGACAACTATACTTTGGACTACATCTTTTTTTAACCACATCATGACAGAGATTCTAGCTCCAAAAGACTCAGTCATAGTCTCATGTAAAAAAAAAAAAGTTTGTTTCTGATGAAAGTCCTGGTAGTTTTTATCAGCATGCTTACATATCAACCACTTAGCAAACAGATAACATCTAATGGTTATTGCAGAGATTTGTCAATCTTTTGTTGATCAGACAGTCGATATGGACATGTTACAGGGAGTAGCTCTTCTTTTGCCAAACCTAGGTGCAGCTCTATCTTTTATAAAGCTCCTTGGCACGCAAAGATACAAACTATACATTTATTTATTTAAATTTACTGCAAAAGCATTCCTTTGTTAAATAAGTTCAAATTCAACACAAGTTTTTTCCCCCAGAATATTCTATATATTCTAAGTTTCCTTGTTAGCCTATATTGCTGTAATCAGAATCTCTTGGGGGAAATTATTTTCTTGCAGATAGAAAAATAAGATTGTAAGTAAAAAATAAGATATAAGAATAAAATAAGATAAGGGTAAGAATAAAATAACATAAGAATCACAGTATATACAATCAACAGTATTTACAATTTACAATGCTGCTCAGTACTAAATTATAATTGTTGCACATGAACATGTTTTTGCACATAGTAAAGTAAAGAAATAAGTAATCAATGAAATTAAATGATTGATATTGATGATTCATATTTCAGAAGCTTTAGCACATATTCACCATGGTTTAAGGCAGAGTTTGGCATAAAAACAGTGGTCATTACAGCCAAATGCAAGGGGTGGGGGTGTTGGTCCTTGAGTTGTCAATGCAGCTGAAGTATCCTTCATTCCTGTTTCCAGAAATAGCTGGTGCTGGCGGTTTCCTCCAAGGTGATCAGGGGGATCTGATGACTGCAGGTTTCCCAGAACAAACCTATCCAAACGGAGCACTCTACCAGGTACAATAACACTCTATAACATCCACGGTTGATGCACCTAGACACACCTAGCCTTTACCCGAATATGCTTACTCTAACTTAAACCTTAACTCAAACTATATTTGACTCCTAAGACTAACTGTTTGCAAAAAGGGAAGAGAGGATCAGCAAAATGTGCTCACCTTGGTGCAAACGGTCCTTACTTTAATGCAAAACAAATTACTCACACACACATGCAGAGTTTCATTTTGATCAGTTCCTCAGGATGTTCTCCAGTGCTGTTTATTGTGGTATATGTAGATCTCTGTGACAAAAGGGGAATACATATTTAAATAAAAAAAGCAAACCATATAAAGGTCCAACAGATAAAAAACGTTTTATCAGTAACCATAATCACAACCTTTCTCTAGTAGTCCGGTGAGTTAGGTTGAAAGTTGCTAAAAGTATTAAGGTACGATTAAGAGAAAATCAATTAAAACAATAAACTGAGTCAATGTTTATCATACTGACACTCAATGGAAAACCAATCGTTAAAAATATTGGAGTTATTTCTAAGTATCAAGTTGTTAGTGGAAATTAATGTCTTCATTAATGCCTTCATTAGGTTTCAGCATCCCTTCCACTGACCAAGGTTACCCATAATGCATGAGTTGGGGGCATTGTGAGATCTCCAAGTGGTTCAGAAATTTCCTACTGAAGTGGGAAAGAAAATGTGGAGATTGAACTAATCTGCCTTCATACTTAATTTCTGATAAAAATCTCAAAAATCATAAAAAACAATCACTTTTGAGTTGAAAATCTCACACCGTACATTGGTCAAAGCCTATAACCCGCAATCCAGTGGCCTGGGAACAGGTCAGAACCACACTGACGAAATAATCCAAACAGGTTTGCCTTTACCCAGTTAGAAAGGTAAACTGTGAGTTAAAGAAACACTTAATTTCTGGTAAAGGATCTTAACAAAGACAGCAGGCTGAGGCACAGAGTATTAGATTCTCTGAGGTATAGAGATTAAAGCCTGAATCTGATCAAAGTAAGTCAGAACCAGTCAGGAAGCAGTCATCATCTTTCACACTGCAGGGCTGTAGCTTGACAGATCAACGTCTGTCCAAGTAGACATGGACTCTCTGAATGAATTATGTATGAGCTGCAGTATGTCGAAACGCAGCTCATGTAGTTGCCATGCCACCACAAGAAAACATGATTCTGTTAGCCAATTTCTACATGATTTATTCATCCAATGTTTAGAATAACTTTCTGCTCACCTCTGATTTCCAGCCTTTTAGTGTTTTATGAATTTGTGTTTCTGTTTTTGGGGAACAGTGGAGGATTACAGTGCCTGAAGGTGAGCGGGTCCGACTGACTTTTACCAGCTTTGACCTGGTCCCTGATATCTGTGGAGACTTTGTTCAGATTTATGATGGCCATGAGGCTGGCTCTACTTTGCTCGGTAGGTTGGTGTACCACCTGCACAAATGTTTGACAGATACTCATATAATGCTACATGGGGAGACCTTGTTCAATAATAACTGTTTATATAAAAGCTTAATGTGTGAGGGAATTAAATTCAGTTCAGCTTATCTCTATAGCTCCCATTTACAACATTAGTCATCTCTAGGTAACCTGACTCCGCCAGATGGATTTGCTCCGCATATCCATCTGGAAACCTTCGGTTGAAGTAATTTTGGGAAGGGGCGAAAATACTGGTTAGCTGATTGGCCTATGTTGGTGATAGACGGGCCAAATAAACCAATCAGATCAAGCACTAACAGTACTAACAGCCAGGCTACTCTCGAAACCAGTCGGGAGAAGAACAAAAACATCTTTTACTCTGAGAAAAGCCTCCAGAGCAGTGTTTTGCTCTTCTTTCAGTGAAGAAATACTCTGTAATTCCGATAAAACTTGCTCGATAGCCACGCTAACGCTAGTTTTATCGGCTGAAGCCGCCATGTTCTTTAGACTGAACTGTCGCGCTTCTCTTTGCGTCACACCTCAACCCGCCTCAAAGCCAACGCTGATTGGACTTCGTTTGGTGAACGGCTCCAAATTTTCTTCAACGGAGAGTAGCCAGACTGATTAGCGTGTGAAATCTTGAAAGCTCGCGAGATCAGGATGGTCTCACGAGGCTAATCTCAAGGCACTTTGCAATTCAACCAGATGAGATTTCTTGTTAAGGAAAACCAGCTGATTGCATCGACTCATTGACTCTACAGCAATCCCTCACATCAAGCATACTTGTAGAGACAATGGAGAGGAAAAACTCTATTTTGACAGGCAGAAATCTCCGGCAGAACCAGGCTCAGTGTGAGCGGCCATCTGCCAAGGCGAAATGGGGGTCAAGGAGACAGAAGCAGAGATACAAAAAATAAGAAGAGATACTAAAGAGAGGGATTACTGTGAGAAAAATATTTTCAAACATGCATTACTAGGTGTGTGTATCCATTCATAAAATATGGTTTGGTTAACAGCTGTACAACAGAGCCAACATCTTAATCCCAGTCAAATGAAAATTTCCTGCATTTTATCCTAAACTGAATAAAGGTCAAAACTAACCCCGAGTTTTGCTCTCAGGAACATTTTGTGGAGGCAGTAAGCCAAAGGCAGTGGAGTCCAGCCACAACACCATGGTGGTGCGCTTTAAATCTGATGGCAGCCTGACTTCTAAAGGGTTCCAAGCAACTTACACAAAGTCCAGCCTTCCTCCTGTTGTCATTCCAACCACAGCCCCGACCACCACCAGCACACAGACCACCCAACCTCCAACAACCTCTGGTGGGTTCCTTCTGTTTTAATTTACAGGCAGGGTTCTTGATAGAAATGTCATCTGCTTGAAACCAGTGAGGAAAACACTGAAAATAAGTGGACTGCCTCTGATAACACCCATTTGGGTTCATTGACTTTCTATCCATGGTGTAAAACTACAAACAAGCTACAATGAACAGTAAAAGGCAAGAATTGAGTTCAGAATGGATTTCTCCAAATCAACACTGGATCCAAATGATACTTCTTTAGTTTACATGTTGATGTTTAATATCTGAGAAATATGAATCTGTTTCTTTGTTCTGACAACACCATGGCTAAAAAGACGATTCTGATAAGGTCCTTCACCCCACCAATCTTTGGTTAAATGCTGTGCATACACATCCTCCAGCACAAGGCCTTTAAGATTCTGCCGGTTGGCTGTCCAACCTTTTCTCTATGGAGAACTGGTCAAAATATTTAAATTAACCTGTCCGCAAGCAAAACAACCCCATAATTTGGTAATAAGCCTAGTCCAGGAGATTCAGCCAGTTTTATGTGTTCAGGATCATTGTTCTGTCTGTAACTTGTACATAACTCTCCAATGCATATCAACGTATTTGACGTTTTCCAGACGAGCGCTGAATGTGTTTCTAACTTACAGCCACTGTTTAATGGCATATTGGCAGCATTTTGGTATAAAAGGGGAAAGCAGAAACGGTCAGTACTCCTCCACACTTTAGACGTTCCACAAGAGATGGAGGATGCAGCAAGGCTGAGATGAGAATACATACTAGCTGTCCTCCAACATCAGTGTGATCTCATCAATTTGACTCTGTTCCAGGTGCAGGGTGAGCGAGAAGTCTAGTGTGATGGATCTTCCTTGCGTTCACGACCACAGACATGACCAACAAACTTCCTATCAGACATGACGCTGAATTTTCACTGAACCTTCTTTCTTTCTTTTTCTTTTTTTCTTTTTTTCTTTTGGTGGACGGGAACCAGCAGCTAGGTTAACACCATCAAAGATAATCAAAGAAATCTTTTTATGCAGTTGGGGCGCCTCTAGACTCGTTATGAATTTGCTATGTTTAAGCCCAAAATTGAAAAAAATACATAAAAAGTTCGGCATATGCCAGCGTTTTAGGAGATTCTGGGATGTCTGAATCTGCAAGGTGCAACGGGGGCCCAAAGAGATCTGGATACTTTTCTCTCTTCATAATCACATCCATGTTATGAACTGCATTGGAAGCACTACATAAGCACTACATACATTCCCACAGGACAATGCACCACCTCCGTGCTTCCAGGAATTTTACACTTCAAGAAAAGCTTGAGTTGTTGGGTCGTACGCCACAAATTGGTGATTTTAGCAGAATTTAAAATCTGATTCTGATTATTATTAATAAGCTGCACTCTAATGATTCAGCCTTAAGCTTAATGATTTGATGCTGCCTTAAAACATTTCTAAGTAAAACACTGCAGTGACCATATAGGTTGAGGCCTCTGCTGAGCGTGGTCTGTTTGTCGCCATGGCAGACAGACGGTTTTTCTCCAGGGGCCAATTAAATACTGTAAATCCCTCCATGCTGCAGGCATCGTTGAAACCAGTTTGCCTCAGCTGTGAATAGAAGTAAAAAATGATCCTAAATAAATAGAAAATGGAGGCAGAGGCTTTGACCATGTTCTGTTTCTTTGCACTGCAGGTAGCGGAGGTCCTGTAATCATCGAAGGACGGAAAGGAACGATCCAGTCCACGGGTTTTCCAAATTCATACCCTGCTCATTCCAATAATTCCTGGAGAATTTCCGTGTCCAAAGAGTTCCTGGTTAAACTGCAGATCACTGACCTGGCGATAACAGGAGAGACCGGACAGTGCAAAGAGGACAAGCTGATCATCTCAGACGACTACAGCATTCTGGGTAAAACATCATTCTACTCTTACCAACCTATCATTACCATTCATTTGTCTTAGATTGTATTTTCTTTGACTCATATTGGCAAAATTAACTTTTGCGGAGAATTTTACCCAAACGTTTTCCATATTTTGTAAAAAAAAAACGGTTTGATATGGGAGAAGCCATACATACAGGGATGTCACAGTCAAATACACAGGGGGACAAAAAAACAAATTTAAATCTTTATTAAAACATACTGAAATAAACATAGACTATTGAACCAAGACCTAGCACATGTTTAAAAAAAAATATATATATATATATATATATATATATATATATATATATATATATATATATATATATATATATATATATATATATATATATATATATATTAACTTCTTAATATCCACCTCATTTTGGCAAATTCTCACCTATTTTTCATACCCAAATGGAAAAGCAAAGTACTTAGGAACTGTAAGCCCAAATTACATGTGTGATACATTATTTGAACGCTAAAACCTTCTAGTTTCTGAATATATACATGAAAATTGGGTGAAAATAATAGGTCTTTTTTGAACAGCAGTTATAAACACATGCTTGCTTGTTGTGGCTGCTTTGTCATGGTACATTTTGACATGCTGCTGTATCTGCGTTAATTGTACTTTGGTGCTCACTAAAATGAACTAGGTGGTTGAATTGTGGAGAATCTAAGCTTTCCAACAGTCTAACATGTCTATATTGGATAATATTTTACCAGTGTTATTTTCATGAATGAAATGAGTTATTATTTGTAAACGCTTTAAAACATTCGCCGGTGACCCGTTGGGTTTTGAGAGGTTAATATCCATATCATTAATAAACTTTTATTCTATTGATACACTTATTAAGATAAATGTATGTAGCACCCCACTACCCTGTCATGAAATAACTGAGGTCCAAATGTAAATAAACTAGTGGGGTGCCCCCTTTTTTATTTTCTTTTTGGGTTCTTTATTTTCTGGTAGATACCCTTCAGGTTTACCTTAATTAAATCCAAACTTATTCCTCTGACTGATAAGGGAAATAACTTAAATAATTCCAGACAACCTGTTACAGAAACGGTTCCGTTTAATTAAAACTCAAAAAGAACATATACAATCAATAAAAAATAAATGCTCAGCCCAGACTCAAGCTACCCTCTTTTTAACCAGCACACATAAAAAATAATAAAATAAACCACCTGTAGGCTCTTAACTTCTAAACCTAAATATCCCTCAAACCAATGTGAAATAAAGTTTAAACACTTTTCCTTTATCAACAATTCTTTTTTTTTTCTTCAACTGATTAAACACTTTTTCTCAAAACCGTATTCCAAAGTTTTTGCACTAACAGTACTCCAGTCTTTTACCACAAAAGAAACACATCACTAAACACTAAACGTGGGCCCACACACACACACAGTTCGGTACCGGTTTAACTATTCGTTGCAGGCCTGTTGAAGCTAGGGTGCGTCGCAACACAAAATCCTCTTCTCCCAGAATATAACGGGAACGGACTCGCTCACCCAACAGGTGCAAAACTCCGGCAGCGCACGAAAACTCCGGTCGTCCCTCTGTCTTCTCTTCTCCACCTTAACCCAGGAGAACCTCCGCAGCAACGTTGGGGCTACGGTCGCCAGGTTGACACGGTCACCCCGCCTCCCACGATCAGCCGCAGTTTCTCTCAGTTCAGCCGCGGTTCTCGTCTCTGGTTCTTCACCTCCAAATGCAACATCTACATGAGCGTCTAACTTAGCAGGCTCAAACTGTTTTAGTCTGCCCCTAGTGACAGGTTTCCGTACCTGCTCTGGCCCAGCCTCAGATGGTAGCCTGACAAGATAACCAATGGGCAGCAAGTGGTTGCGATGCACTGTTTTTTCCACCCCAAGGCCTCTTTCAGGTTTCACCTTGTAGACTGGCAAGTTAGGCATCCTCGCTATGACAACGTATGGCACTGTCTTCCACCTCTCTTTCAACTTATGCTTCCCAGTGACACCAAAATTCCTGAGAAGCACCCGGTCTCCCGCTTCCAAGATCTGTTCTTTAACACATTTGTCATGTGCTCTTTTGTTCCTTAGATGATTTTTATCCGACGATTCTGTAGCAAGTTGGTAAGCATGTTCCAAATCTTTCTTTAGTTTTGAGACATATTGGTGGTAAGTTGGACTTCTCTCGGTCTCATCCGATACTCCAAAACAGATTTCCACAGGCAAACGAGCCTCCCTTCAGAAGATGGGGTGAGTATCCGGTTGCCTCATTTTGTGTGCAATTATAGGCATGCACTAACCGACTGATGTTTTGACTCCATTTCTGTTTCTGAGTGGGATCCAGAGTCCCGAGCATGGACAACAGTGTCCTGTTAAATCTTTCAGGTTGAGGATCCCCCTGAGGGTGATAAGGGGTTGTTCTCGACTTTCGGATCCCCAACATTCTCAGAAGATCATGGATGAGCTTGCTTTCGAAGTCACGTCCCTGATCGGAATGTATCCGTGCAGGAAGCCCATAATGAACAAAGAACTGTTCACAGAGGATCTTAGCCACTGTGGATGCTTGTTGGTCTTTCGCTGGAAAAGCCTGAGCGTACCTGGTAAAATGATCAGTCACCACAAGGATATTTGCATACCCTTTATAGTCGGGCTCAAGAGATAAGAAGTCAATGCAAACTAAATCTAGTGGCCCTTTGCTGGTGATCTGATTCAAGGGAGCAGCTCGTTGTGGTGGGGCTTTACGGGTGATGCATCTACCACAGGTCTTTACATACTGCTCCACCTCTGACCCCATCTTAGGCCAGTAGAATCTGCTACGTATCAACTCAAGTGTTTTTTCCACTCCGAGGTGGCCTGATTCATCATGTAGGGACTTTAGCACCATGGCAACATGTTCTCTGGGCAGAACAAGCTGTAGCACATCTGTACCAGTTGGTCTTCTAATCTTCCGGTGGAGCAACCCATCCACCATGACGAGCTTACTTGCTTCTCGTTGCAGACAAACTGCTCCCTGGTTTGTACACTGTTCAGGTGAAAATGCTGGTCCCCCAGTTAAGGACTTTTTAACCGGTGAGATCATTGGGTCATGGTCTTGAGCTTTAATGAGATCTATTCTGCTCACCTGGATCAAGGAGCCAAGATCTAGTCGGGCTGGGAACACATAACATTCTGGCAGAGCAGTTGCAGGAACACACAGTGTTTCTACATAACCGAGAGAGTCAGCAGACTCTTCTTTGGAAACCTGCTTACAGAGTGCCTTGACTTCATCAGGGGTTAAGCTCCTAAACTCTGATCCATTATCAGAGACAGGGTTGCGTGACAATGCGTCTGCATCAATATTGCTAGACCCGGGTCGGTACTGCAGAGTAAAGTTATAGATGGAGAGAGCTGCAAGCCAGCGATGTCCTGTGGCACTAAGCTTAGCAGTGGTGAGAATATATGTAAGGGGGTTGTTATCTGTCCTTACAACAAATTCAGCTCCATACAGATAATCGTGGAACTTATCCACTACAGCCCACTTGAGTGCAAGGAACTCTAGCTGATGTACTGGATAATTCCTCTCGGAAGAACTGAGCTTCCGACTGGCAAAAGCGACTGGTCGCAATCCTTCAGGATGTTCTTGGTTTAGCACCGCTCCCAAACCATGGAAACTTGCATCTATGTGCAACACATAGGGCTTGGATGGGTCAGCAAATGCTAACACTGGTGCTTGGGTGAGACATTTGAGAATCTGCTGAAAAGCTTCGGTGCAGTCCCCATCCCATCTTTCTCCAAAGGGCTCATTGACTTTGTAATATGTTTTCCCCGGAGTCTTTGCTGATTTCTTTTTCTTTTGTGTGGGCGGGTACCCTTTGCACAGTTCTGTTAGCGGCCTGACAATGATTGAATAATTTTTTATGAAACGCCGATAATATCCACAAAATCCTAGGAAGGACTGGAGGGAAAGAAGATCTGTGGGTTGTTTCCAGTGGGTAACAGCCTCTACCTTGCTTGGATCGGTAGCAATGCCCTGCTCAGAAACCACATGTCCAACGTATGTCACTTGGGGTTTGCAAAACTGGCATTTATCAAGTGACAGTTTCAGTCCAGTTTCCCCTAAACGGTCAATGACTTTGAGGAGTCTTCTCTCGTGTTCCTCCAAGGTTTTCCCAAACACGATCAGGTCATCTAAATAGACTATAACCTCCAGCATGTGCATATCCCAAACCGCTCTTTCCATGAGTCGTTTGAAAGTTGAAGGAGCACCAGTGATTCCTTGAGGCATCCTCTGAAACTGGAAAAAGCCCAGGGGACAGATAAAGGCGGTTTTCTCTTTATCCTCCTCAGCCATCGGAATCTGGTAATAACCGCTCCTTAAATCTAGCACAGAAAACCATTTGCTTCCAGACAAACAGTCCAGGGCATCATCAATGCGGGGCACTGTATATTGATCAGGAATGGTTCTGCGGTTAAGAGTACGATAGTCGACACACATACGAAGTTGTCCATTTTTCTTTCGTGCCAGCACAATGGGTGAGGCATATGGACTTCTGGATTCTTTGATTATTCCGGCATCTAAAAGCCCCTGAAGATGGCGACGTAGATCCTCCATATCAGCAGGTGCTATACGCCGTGATCGCTCTCTAAACGGAGTGTTGTCAGTCAGTCTTATTTGGTGTTCGACTCCAGATGCTAATCCCACGTCCCACTCCTCTGTAGAGAATACATGGGAGCGTTCAGAGAGTTTTTCTCTTAGTCTCTGTTTCCACTCCATAGGGATAGGGGAGTCACCAAAATCAAATTGAGATGGATCAAGTTTTTTGGGAGTTTGGGTCTTGATGTTTGGGATCTCAGTCACTGTGTCAGCTACATAAAGGTGAGCTACTACTGTGCCGATGGGAATGGCTGTTTCTTTCAGTGACTCATTTTGCATGAAAACTAGAAACTTGTCCTTATCCAACATCTTAGAGAATAAGACTGTTGGCTGCACAAACAAACTTGGTGGAAGTGCATGTGAAGATCCACGCTCAGAAAT